GGAGGGGTTCTTGGCTGTCGCGCAATGACACCCAACTACGGCTGCGAAGTGCACGTGGCCCCACTGTGCATGAGGCATTAAGCCTCGGTGTGTTGTGGTGTGGGTGGTGTGGTGTGGTGAGAGTAGGAGCTGCAGCAGATGTGCAGCGACTTTGTCAACCAGACGCTGTCGCGCGACAACGCGCTGGCCCGTCTCAAGCGCGCCATCGACTTCAACAGCGAGGAGGTCGTCCTCAAGTGCCTGCTCATCACCGCCCGCAACTTCTCGCACGCGTCGCTGGGCAAGGCCGACTACACCTTCCTCCCGGTGGACATCTTCATGCTGCTCCTGCACCACCGCTACCTCGCCGTCAAGAGCGAGCAGCACCTGTTCAACACTGTCTGCACCTACGTCGAGGCCCACCGCGACGACCTGACCGAGGAGCAGATCAACGAGCTCATGGAGGCCGTCCGCTTCCGATGGCTCTCCTACGAACAACTCGAAGAGGTAACCCGCCCACCGCACGACACGCACGGCACACACGACACGACGCACGGCACGACACACGCACGCACGACACACGCCTGACATGGGGTTGGGGCAGGCGGCGCGGAACGCGTTGGTGCCGCGGCATCTGCTGGTGGAGGCCCTGATGGCGATCCTGCGCGACCAGAAGTACCCCGACCTCAAGCCCCTCCACGAAGACAACCCGAGGTCTGTCGTTGCCCTCCCCTCCCTCCCCCTCTCACTCACTCACACGGCTCCCGTTTGCCCGTCGTCGACTCATCGCGCGTTGTGTGCGTGTGCGATTGTGCGTGTGCGTGTGCGTGTGCGATTGTGCATGTGCGTGTGCGTGTGGTGCGTAGGCTGCAAGAGCGTGTGTCGTACGGAATTGAGTTCGAGTACCAGAGTGGCGTTGAGAACAACGACATCTTCTGGTGGATCGGGACCAACTCTGGCACGGACAGCTGGCAGAACCCGGGGCTCTGCGGCCGAATCAAGGTGCCCGCAGTCATTCCCCCCCACAAATCACTGCTCCGCTTTCGCTTTTCGTTCTTCGTTCTTCGTTCTTCGTTCATCGGTTTGTCATACGCGAAAGCTTACATTCTTCGGTGGTCAGGTGGCGATATCGTCGATTGAGAAAGGAGACCCCACGAGCCTGTTCTTCCAAGACCCCTCCGAATTTTGGACCAAGGCACGCACCACCGCACACACCGACCGCACACACCGACCGCACACACCGCACACATATGGACCGCATGCAACACGCAGACGTGCTAAGGATGGTGAACGCATTATCGAATGCGCAGGACGTGCCGGCGTCGTGGGTGCAATTGGACCTGGGGCCGAACCGGGCGGTGGTGCCCACCTTCTACACGGTGCGCCACGGCGGCACCTTCAAAGCCGACAGCCTGCGCACGTGGGACTTTCAGGGCTCAGTGGACGGCACCGGCTGGTCGCTGCTTCGCCGCCACGTCAACGACGAGGTGCTTTGATCGTGTCGTGCCATGTGTGCCATGTGTGTCGTGTGTGTCGTGTGCGTGTCGTGTGCGTGTCGTGTGCGTGTCGTTCGTGTCGTATGTTTCATGAGGTGCTCACGCGTCGGACATGTGCCTTTGTTCTGTAGTCTCTCAACGACCTGTTCGCCACGCATACGTGGCCGATCGAAGGGCAAACAAAAGCGTACCGCTTGTTCCGCATCCTTCAAACGGTACTGGAGACACGCACACGCACACGATATATCTACATATGTTATGACGCACGCACCGCACGCACCACACACACGCGCGCGCACACACACACATACACACACACACACACACACACACGACACTTGAAATGGCACACGCAACACACGACGCCTGATGATGCGGCATGCCAACAACAGGGACACAATTCGTCGAACCACAACTTTCTGGTGCTGTCGGGCCTGGAGCTCTACGGGGCGCTCTACGAGGGCAACATCGAGGAAATCAACCGCGACCTGCACGACGCCCACCTCGCCTACTCCTGAGATCTCGCCCTAGTCACATAAATCTTTCCACGCCGTGTGTCGTGCCATGTGTCGTGTCGTGTCGTATCGTGTCGTGCGGTGTTGTGTGGTGTTGTGTTACAATTCGCCAAAGAAATGAAATTAGTACATGTCGGCGAGCTCGGCTGATTTGTCGCCGCGGCTCAGCATGTGGAGGGCGACTTCGCCGCTCTTCCGTCGGAGGCGCGCCACCTTCTGTTCGACCCGGCGGTACACCGATGGACGCGGCGGCACCGCCACCGTTTCCTCGATCGTCGTTGATGATGGCAGCCGTTCCTGTTCATCGGGGTGTGTGTGTCATCGGCACCGCACACGCACACGTCAGCAGGCGCACACGTGTGCGATTGATCGGTCGAAGAGAGTGTGAGAGGAGAGGCATGCCTCGGTTTTGCTTCGCGTCGGGCTGGCGCGGGTAGCGGGGAGAATAGGCACACTCTCTGCTCGCCTGCTGCGCACAAAGTTCACACGCGTCCACGAACCTGCACAGTGTGTGCGGTGCATGCGTGTGCGGTGCATGAGTGTGCGGTGCATGCGTGTGCGGCGCGCGCGGTGCGTGCGTGTGCGGTCAATTAGATGTGGAGCGCGGCCGATGCCAGGCAGAAGAACGTACGGGAGCAGAGCTGCTGCAGAATTTCGATCCATTCTACCTTGTCGTGCAGGGAGGCGGCCTTGAGGTAGAGGGCCTGCGGTGGCCCCTCCGCCGCAGCGCCGCCGATGCCGTCCGAGCTCAGCGCGCGCGCTCGACCGAGGTGGTCGTCGCCACCCTCAACGCACACCTGGTAGTCGTCCTCGTCGGCGTCGTCGTCCAATTCCGACTCCAATCGGCCCTGCTGGTCCACCAGCCCAAACACACCGTCTCCACCTTCACCGCCACACAGCACGACACGACACACAAGACACGACACGACACGCACGTGACGTCAGCAATTTGTTGATAGAGGTGCGTGTGTGGGCTGAATTGGGGGGGTGAGTCGAGAACCGAAGGCGGAGATGTCGTTGCCCTCGGCTCGGGGCACGATGTGCCTTAGCTCAAACATGTACTCGAACTTGTAGCTCTCGCCCGACCTCTTCCTCGTACACAACTGTCATTGCGTGACGGGACCCGTGAATTCCGGTATGTGGTGATGCATGTGCGTGTGCGGTGATGCGTGTGCGTGCGTGTGCGGTGATGCGTTTGCGTGTGCGGTTGCGCGTGTGCGGTGGTGCGTGTTGCTGACACAAGATGCGTGTGCGTGTGCGTGTGCGTGTGCGTGTGCGTGTGTGCGTGTGCGTGTGCGTGTGCGTAGGTACCATGATGTCATCGAAGAGGAAGAAGTAGCGGGATTCGAAGCGTCGCGTGGCGATGTTGGTGCACACCTGCAGCGGGCCCTCGCGCTCATAGCTTCGCGACACCCGATCAAACAAATTCTGCGCATAATGTTTCAGTTTGTGAGTCTGCGTGTGTGCGTGTGCGGTGCCGCGTGTGCGTGTGCGGTGCCGCGTGTGCGTGTGCGGTGGTGCAATGTGCGTGTACGATTTGGGCTTCGCGTGAGGGGAACACGAGACTCTTGTGGACGCGGAACATCTTTTCCATGTTCTCCTCTCGCTTGCGACTCTCCTCCACCGTCCGGTTGATCTCCCTTGCACGTCGTGGTCAATAAGAAGAAATAATAATAACAAATAATAACAAAAACAAAGAAAATAACATTTAAAATGATAAATAAAGAGCATATAAATAAAGAAGGGGGAACACTTACTTGATCTGGGCCAGCAGGGTCTGTAGTTTGTGGTGCTCGGGCGGGCTGTGAACCGTCTGCTTCACCATGTCCTACCCGATGCCAACCATCATCAGACGATGTGTGGCACGACACGCACACGACACTCACATGACACGCGCACACGCGCGTTCAACACGCGACGCGACACGCACGACACACGATCATATGCATGGGGCAGGGTGAGGGTACGGTGAGGAGTAGTTCGTAGCGGGGCAGGCGCTGGATGGGGAGGATGAGGAAGGACTCGGCGTCCATGCCCGTCTTGCCGAGGCACTCGTCCAGAAAGCGGCGGAAGCGGGCGTTGGCGCGGGTCAGCTTCAGGAGCAGATCGATCGCGCTCGGGTGCTTGTTCACGTATTGCGTGTGCAGCTTGAGGTAGGGCACGAAGAAGAAGAACGCATCGACGAACGACGCCTTGCTGCTCTCCGCTGCAGCACTCAACCCATCACCACAAACCAGTCATTACACCACCACCGCACACACTACTAACCGCACACACTACCGCACACACCACCGCACACACCACCGCACACAGACCTTTCTTGAATTCCTCGAGCAGTTCTCGGTGCATGAGGTGCAGGGGCACCACTCTGGATTGAGGCAAGAGTGAGTGTGACAATCGAACGAGATGAGGGAGCAAAAATGGGGAGCGGGTGGTGCGGCACCGCCCGAAGATGAGATCGGCGTGGGCCGCCGAGATGATGGCCCGGTGCTCGCCCTGGGCCGCCAGGTCCTTCAACGGATTGAGGAACACCTGACGATGATGACGATGATGATGACGATTGATGATGATGACGACGACGACGACGATTGATGATGATGATTAGTGTCAGGTGAGAGAAGAGGGCCTTGAGGGCGGTGGTAGGTGCCTTGATGATGGTGTCGAGGTTTTGTACGTAGCTGGCCTCGGTGTCGATGAACTCCTTGCGCAGCAGCTCACCCTTCTTCTTTCGCACCACCTTAGAACTGAGCGCATGATCACAGACGCACAACGATCGTTTAAAACGAGTGCGTGTCATGCACACGCACACGCACGCACGCATACGCGCACCGCCGCACACGCACACACGCATCACGACACTTACTCGTCGGAAGAGAGGGCCGATGGGTTGTGCTGGCGCGGCGTGAGCGTCTTCCACACGAACACCGGGTCACCCTTCTTCGCCTCGCCCAGCTGCCGCCTCTTCGCCGCCCAACCGTCACTCTCGTTCTCGTTCTCGTCCTCGTTCTCCGCTCCTTCGCTCTTCTTCCTCCGCCTCCTCTTCGTTTTCGTTTTCGCTCTTTCTTCGTTTCCGTGTCGCTTTCGTTCTTCTTCTGGATCGCCAGGCGCTGGTGCCCTTTGTTCATCGCGTGGTAGAGCCGGATCGTTCCACCGCCCTTGGCCTTCGCCTTGGCGCCGCCGCCTCCGCGACCTTCACTGCCTCCCGCGTCGGCGCTCAGGCGCATGGTCAGGTCGCGCATGTAGGTCTTCATGACCCGCAGGTCCACCCCGACCATGCCCGCGTCACCTTCATCTTTTTCACATTTTTCATGATCATCTCTGTCGTCTTCTCGTTCGCGGTTGGGAGAGGCAGAGGGAGTGGAGAAGGAGCCGAGCATGGAACGCGCCCCTTGTCCCATCTTCGCGAACATGATTACCGAACCTCCATCTTCATCTTCATCTTCATCTCCATCTTCTGACGAGTCGGGGCGGTTCTCCTTCTCACCAAACCTCACCTTCACCTTAGCTTCATCTTCAGCTCGTTTCGGCGACCGTTTGGGCAGGGTGGGCCTTGGCGGCACCTTCGCCTCGCCCGACCTCGACGCAAACATCTTTTAGTTTAGTTCTCGTGCTTCTTGTGTTTGTCTTCTTGTGCGTGTTCCCTCGCAACGCTGGTAATATTAAAATTGATTTTAATGATTTTGGTTGGCTGGGACAGTTTGAAAAAAAAATGAGCGAACTGCTGTGGGAGTCAATCAACAACGATCGAGCTTGTCCATTTTGAATTGAATTGAAGAGCTAACACAGAAGAAGAAGAAGCAGACATGTCGAACGCAAAGGAGGAGGCGAAGGAGAAGAAGCTGAGGGAGAAGGAGGAGAAGCAGCTGGAGAAGCTGAAGAGCGAGCACGGGAAGAAGCTGAAGAGCCTCGAGGGCAAGCAGAAGAAGGAGCAGAGCGAGGCCATCACGAAACACAAGAAGGAGATCTCCGAACAGAAGATCAAGCACGACGAGCAGCTGGCCAAGCTCAATCTCAAGCACGGGCAGGAGAAGGAAAAGCTGAAGGTCAAGCATGAGGATCAGCAGCGCAAGCTGAAGGAGAAGCACGATGAACAGCAGGCCAGCCTCAAGAACCAGATCGCCGACGAGCGCAAGAAGAAGGAGGCCGCCGGCGCTGCGATGGCCTCGCCCCGAGCCGGTGGCGACGACGTCCCTGCCCCGCCCCCTCGCGACTAATTTATACTTTTTTCGGCCAATTCACCTCATCTTCCCTACACGCCCTCGTCTCATTTCTTTGTTTTATTCTGTAATTCATTCAATTTGGTTAATTAAACTCGCTATTCGTGCGCACCCAACGATCTCTTATTATAAATAAAGTAATAATTACAACAGAGTAATAAATGGCAACAAATAAATAACAACAGAGTTGACTTCTCGTGGCTACGTCGCACTACTTGCCTTCAAGGAGGTAGCGGATGGCCAGCTCGCTGTCCGAATCGCTCATCAGCAGCGCCTCCCGCACTTGCACGTCGGAGAAGCCCAGCTGCGACACCTGCGACGAACGAACAAACGCGATCAGCCGAAGAGAGAAGAAGACGACGACGACGACGACGAGGAAGAAGAGTGGTACCGTCTTGTAGGAGGAAAGGAACTTCTCGGCCTTGTCCACGTCGTAGTCAAAGAGCGAGAGGGTGTTCTGCACCTGCGCCGCGGGCGAGAAGCCCTTGTTGACGAGCAGCTTCAAGAAGGCCAGCATCCTGCCAACAGTGCCGCGTAAGTGTGTGTCGTGTGTTGTGTGTCGTGTGTGTCGTGCGACCCCACACGTGTTACTTCGTACCGCTGGTGCTGTTGGTCCTCCTCCTGCGGCGAGAGCCCAGCGGCGCCGCCACCGTAGGCCTTGAGCGCCTCGACGACGTGCGCTTGGCTGTAGCCTATGTGCTTGAGCCGCTCGTAGGCCTTCACGTACGCGATCACCTGTGTATTGTTGGCCGAGATGAGGTTGAGCAACTTTAGGTCACTCGACTTACGCGACCAAAGGCGCATCATCGCATCAGCGCAGAGACGCGCGGGGGAGAGCCGTACCGACTTGGGGTCGTTGGCGCAGTGCCTGGCGGCGATGTGCACGTGCTCCGTGTTGAGCGTCTCGTGCTCGCTGATGACCTTCAGGTACAGCTTTTCCTGGAAGGAAGGAGGAGCAAAGGCGCGACGTCAGCACGCACTGCGACATTCGCCGGCGAGGCGCTTGGTGTGGGGAAAAGGCTGGTGTGTGGGGTGAAGGGGCTGGCCACTTACCTGCACGGGATTGAGGGGCGCAGTGTGCTTCCTGGGGACGCTGGAGCCCGAGCTCGATCGAGATCGGTGGCCGCCGGTGCTTTCCGACCGAGGCAACACCGGCACCCCGCCTCGCGGACTTCTGGCATTCTCCTGTATGCAGTGGCGCGTGTGCGTGTGCGGCGACGAAATGTCAATGCGGTTGGATCATGCAGGAAGCGAAGGAGCGGATCCAACGTACAGCGCTCGTTCGTTGGATGTCGCCCGTGCTGCCCGATTTTTGCCTGGCCATGTGCAGCGGGTGGCTGTGTTTGTTGGTGAAGGTGGCCAGTGACTCGGTGGCTGGCTGTAGACCGCCGCCGCCGTGCAGATGCGGCGAAGGAGCGGAGTGCGGCGGCACCATGTACGGACCACCGTTGTGGGGCCCCGCAGGCAGGAACGGCTGGGGCTGGGGCAGCGGCAGGGGCTGGTGCATCGGTATCTGCGGCTGGAACGAGGGTCCGGGTCCCGCATAGGGCGACGCCGGCATGCCGGTGTGCGTCGGCGGCGGGGTGTAGGGCGAGTGAGTCATGCCCGTCGGTGCGCCGCCAAAGGGTGAACCGCCCGCGTGCACGCCCGGCGACGCGCCGCCAAAGGGCGAACCGGCCGAGGCCACGCCGCCGGTGCCGGCCCTCCGCCGCTCTTCGTAGTCCTTGCGCAGCTCGTCGGTGAGACGGAAGGCCTCGCGCTCCTTCTCGATGTGGGTGAGTATGTCGCGCTCGTAGGTGAATTCGTAGCCGAGACTGCCCCGCTGGCTCCGGGTGGCCAGCGCCGAGTCGACCTGGGCTAGAAAGGCGGAGAGCGCGGCGGGCGACGGCACAGGCGCGTTGGGCGGCCGCGAGGCGGCAGCCCCGCGGCTTGGGCAGACGGCAACCCGGCAGAACTGGAGGAGGCTGTGGCCGGCCGGCAACCCGCCGTCCATCGTCACCGGCCAGGCCTGGTCGGTGTGGTGCCCGTTCTGGCCCCGTACGTCTGCGCAGTTGTACGGCGACAGAAGAAAGAGAACACGGTCAACCCCCTCCCCCCTTGGGCTCTGGCGTGACCCAACCGCAAGACCGAGGAAGTGTACCGAAGGAGGTCGATCGGGGGACTGGCGGGAGCGACTTGGGCGAATAGGACACGGCTGCGTGAAAGAGAAGAGGATTGGGGGAGAAGTTGCGAATGAGGCCACGCGGCGCGTTGCAGGGCTGGTGGGTGGTAGAGCTCATCATAGAGTGGTATACCTGGCATGGGCGCAGAGTGTGTGCCAAAGCTGGTCACGGCCGGCAGCACAGCCGTGTGTCGTTCTTCGAGGCCGAGGCCGGACTGAGCGTGCAGTACCGGCGCGGAGTTCTTCCTTCCGGTCTTTGCCAGCGCTGCTCGGTTGGTTTGGTGTGCGACGAAGCGAACCTTCTTTTGTTAGTCGACCAGCGTCGTCGTCCATGGTCGCAAGAGAGGTCACGTGGATTCGCGTACCCCCCGACAAGAGTTCGGCAACCGCCTCCTTGTGATAGGCCACGGCAATGTTCAGCGGCGTGCCCTCCGGACCGACCAGCGTGGGGTCCGCATTCCTGTAAACGTAGACATGTGAGCCGCGGCAATTGAGTGGGAATTGAACGTGGAGGCCGCCAAGCCTCACCTTTCGAGCAGCGTCTTCACGACGTCGGTGTGACCGTAGCGCGTGGCATAGTGCAGCGGCGTCTCGCCGACCCTGTTGCGAACGACGTCGTAACACAATCACCGTGTGGCCATCATACAACTAACGTTAGGTTTGCGCCCACGCATAGCGAGAGAGAAAGAGAGAGGGATCGGACCTGGACTTGACGTTGATCTCGGCGCCGTGGTTGAGGAGCAGGTTGGCCACCTCGTCGTGACCGCCCATGGCGGAAAGGTGCAGCGCGGCCTCTCCGTTCATGTTCTGCACGTTCACATCGAGCCCTCGAGAACTGCGCACGTAGAAGAAGAAGAAGAAGAGGGAGAAGGCGCGCGAGTGTGTCAGCGTGCAGTCGCGAGGAGAACGCGCGCAACGACGACAACATACTTGAGGACAGTCTTGAGCAGCTTGTAGTAGTGGACGTTGTCGGCCTGGCGCGCCTTGGCCCGCACGAGGTAGTGCAGCGGCACGTCGCCATCTCTCGACGCGGCGGTCACGTCTTGATTGACGCAGAGAGATGTCTGTTATCACCCAAGATGGAATGGAAGAAAAGAAGATGCAAAAATGAAATACCTGCGCCGTGGCTGATGAGGAGATCGAGGCACTCGAGATGGCCACCATCGGCGGCATAGTGCAGGGGGGTCCAGCCGCCAAATCCATCCTTTGTGTTCACCAAATGAGCCAGCTTGTACTTACTGGTGAGAAGTAGCTTGAGGGCCTCGTGATTGCCCCCCTCGGCCGCGGTGTGTAGGAGCGTCTGGCCCTTCTCGTTGGTCTTCTTGAGTCCATCCTTGCCCACCGACTTCAACGATTTCTTGAATTCCTTCACCGATGCCCACTTGGATTGTTCAAACACATCCATCTTTTGCGTTTCTCTCCGAAGATCAGAGATGAAAGAGTTCTCCCTCGCCTTCTCCAGCCCTCGCCTCCTACCTCCAACCGTCGACGTGCTCAATTGCAATAGAATTGAACGGAATGCTTTGGGCCTGTACCCAACAACACAAAAATACTACACAACGCCCATCACCAGAAGGGGCACCAGCCGTGGTAGCACTGGCTCAGGTTCTCGGTGGAGGTGGCCTGGTCGATGAGCTTGGACACCTGGTCGCGGACGGAGAGCGCCGCCCGGAGCTGCTTGGTCTCAAAGTCCTTGCCGCGCAGCTTGGACGCGATGCGGTCCACCACCTCCAGCGCCTTCTCGTTCAACATCCCGTCCTGCTGCACCGCCTCGCCTCCGCCCGCTGTAGTGTGTGTCGTGTGTCGCGTGTATGTGTGTGTCGTGGCAGACAGAACACAGATCAGCCGATGTGAAAGTGCAGATCACACGGCAGGTGGAGGAGAGGCGTACGCGAGACGCGCCGCTCCAGCTTCGAACCGAACACGGAGCCGCTCACGACTTCGATCTTGGCGGCCTCGACGGCCGGGTGGTCGTTGAGATCGACGCGGCCGTTGTCGTCGAGGCTCGAGTCCGTCGGAGCCTCCTGGCCCGAAGGCACCTTCTGCTGCAGTAGCCGCCAGTTGATCAACGGGTCGTGCACAAAGGCCTCGAGCACAGCGATCACACTGTCCTTGTTCTCCCTGTGCCGAGCAACGTTGACAACGCGCACGACACGCACGGCACGATGCGACACACACATACATGACACGCACAACATACAGCCGTGAGCGTACGGGCCTGTGGCGAATGTAGCAGTCCTCGTACCTGAGCACGCGCATGACGTTCTCGGCGGTGCAGCGGAAGTTGCCCTCTATGCCGGTCACCTCCATGGCCCTAATCAGCATTCGGGTGAGCCGGAAGGGAATCTTCTCCTTGTGCTTGTCGCGCATCATCGCCACCTGTGGTGTCGTGTGTGTGTGTGTGTGTGTGTGTGTGTCAGTACTCTTCTTTGTTTTCTTGGCGAGCGGCGCACGCACCTCGAAGCAGTCGCCAAAGTCGATGTGGGTGATCTTGCCGGTGTTGCGGTCGAGCATGATGTTGGAGGGGTGGCGGTCGCCGAGGCCCAGGATGTAGCCCACCATGGACATGACCGCCAGCGACCGCGTGTAGTTCGTGCGCCGGTCAAGCCATACCTACGGTCCACTCAGTATCAAATTGGGTGCGTGTCGTGTTGTTGGTCGTATTGCGTGTCGTGTGTCGTGCGTGTCGTGTCGTGTCGTGTCATTAACCTCGGAGTTGGGGCTCTTGAGCCAGAGGACCTGGTCGAGGTCGTCGCCTTCGGTCTCGGCAATGCCTGACTCGAAGATCTCGGCCTTCTGGATGGTGGTGAGCTTCTCAAAGTTGGCCACATAGTCGTTGAACGTCATCGGCTCGCCGTTGGGCTTCACGCCCGACCCGCACACCAGCCGCAGCATGCACCTGTCAAGCGGGGACACACCGCACACAGTGAGCCGTCTGTGAGCCTCACGCCCGCAAGCAATATATATAGAAAGAATATATATCATATATATATCTATATGATAAAAGTGGTCTGCGTACACGTGCTCCTTGGTGATGGGCACCTCCTTGGCCTTGCGGTGGTTGGCGATCAGTTCGTGCAGCGTGTCGTGGTGCGGGACCTGTGACCGATTGCGCACGTGCGTGAGAATTGCTTGGAATTGCTGGAAGTCCACAAAGACAAGAAGGGAGAAGGAAGGGAGTACCCAGCCGATGAGGCCCGAGTGGGGCGACAGGGGAATGATGGCGTAGCGCTGGATGGCCATTTGCCTGTTGGTCGTCTCCCTGTCGGTAGCGAGGAGCGTGTTGACCAGCTCAAAGAGCTGCATCACGCGCTCGTCCTGTCGCAGGTCCTCATGACCTGAGCGGTGGTGGGTGCGTGTTAGCGTGCGGCCGTGCGTGCGTGCGCGTGCGCGTGCGGTGGTGCGTGAATGCGTGCGTGAGCAAGGGGTTGTCTCGAAGCCGGCGTGCGTACCTTTGAGGAGGAACGGGTATTCCTTCCCGTCGGAGCCCATGATCGTGAGCTTGCAGGGCCGCTGCTTGGACGCGAGCACGGTCAGCGTCGGCAAGAAATGGCTGATCTTGACGATGTCGTCGTCCTGCGTGCGTCCCTCGTAGGTGCCTGCAGACGGTCATGTTTTACACAGACGACGCGCGTGTTTGAAAATGGTTCAAAGCTATTGAATCGCCATTGGCCTGGGGCGGGGGGGGGATACCTGGCACGATCAGTCCCAGGTCGCGAACGGCCATGAGCTTGGGCGAGACGTGCTGCATCTCGATCGTCTTGATGTTGGGCAGCCTGGTGGACAGGTTTCGGAACACCTGGTGCCGAGTCAAGCAAGAGAGAGAGAGAGAGAGCGAGAAATGAATGGTTAAGTTATAAAGCTGCATGGTTTGAATGTGGGCGGTGCTGGTACGTACCAGGAAGTAGTACTCCCACGCCTGGTGGAGGTCGGTGGTGTCCTTGGTCTTCTGGTAGCGCTGCAGCCACTCAAAAGCCTCGGCCAGGTCCCGCCCGTACATGTGCATGAACGTAGTCTCGCGGGGCGTCTGGGCGCCCTGTTTGATTGTGGCCGCGTGAACTAGTTAATATCATAAAAATAATAGAATTAAAAAGAAAAAACAGAATAGAAAAATAAGGCGTACCACTGTGATCAGTTGGTTGAGGGAGTGGAGCTTGAGGATCATGCCCTCCACGTTCTTTTCGGTGGAGTAGAGCTGCCAGGCCTCTTCGATGCCCTCCTTCCACAGCTCTTGCCAGGGAATCGCCACTCGGATCAGTTCGTGCGAGACCAGCAGGGCAGCTTCCACCTGTCAACCCAGCAACACGTCTCGTCAAGTAACGCACGCACGCACGCACGCACGCACGCACGCACGCACGCACGCACGCACGCACGCACGACATGAAGGTAAGGAGTGGGTACCAGGCTGTCGCTGTGTTCCCGCATCTTGTCGAGGATGTAGTTGGCGGCGGTGACCCGAGCCGGAGCGTCGGACTTGGAGGCCACCGAGAGCGGATACACCAGGGCCTGCGGGTGGGCGCGGCCCACGTTGGTCAGGAGGTCGTGCGTCAGGCGCGCCACTGAGGCGACCGACGAGTGGATCCGGGCGATGAGCTGCGGGATCACTTGGAGCCATGTGTCGATAGACACGGTGGTGAAGCCCTCGATCAGGGTCTCCTCCACGACCTTCATGTGGCCGTACTCGAACCACAGCGTCAACAGACGCAGCGTGTCCTGTGATCGTACGTGTTAGACACGCACACGCACACGCACAGACGCAAACACGCATGCATGCACGCACACCACACGCAAACACGACCGCACACGCAGTACCTGGAGACTCTTGCCCTGTGGAGCGAGGCCGATTGAGCGGAAGAAGCCCCTGACAGCGGAGGTGAGCAGGCGTGGAGTGTGTTTGGGGTTGTGCTGCTTGCGGTCGGGCAGCTTGCCCCTGATATCCTTCGCCTCCGTTCTGTTCTTGTCCTGCTTCTCCCAATGCGAGATCACCTGTTGTTGCCGTGACCAGTTAGCGGTCATAATAATCCTAATAATCGCAATAATCATGAATATTAGAATAAACACCAAAAAAGTGGGGTAAAAACCTCAAAGTTGAACATGGCCCAGGAGTGGCAGGCCTTGTACCACTGCCCGTCGTACTGGGTCGCCTCTTCATAGGCGCGTAGGATGGAATTGATGGTGGGCTGTGTGGCGGCCGCCAGTTTAAATGTGGTTTCCACTAATGATTATGTTTAATATTATTCGTATTGTGGTGGTACCTCAGTAAGCCCTTCGTTGAGGTCGCGCTCCCAGTTGGCGAGAGTGAGGTAGCACTGGGCCAGCAGCTTTTTGGTGGAGCTCGTCTTCTTGTTGACTGTTCGGCACAAATCGCGCAGCCGTTGGAACAGTTGCTCCCTCTCCGAATTCTCGTCCACTGCGCAAGCACACGACGTACGAGCCTCGTTAATGCTGCACATCAAAACTGGGGCGGACCATGAGTCGACCAGAGGGTCGTGTACCTTTCGTTGTGTGCCAGCAGTGCTTGAGCCAGGCGAACCTGATCATGGCTTTGTTGTCTTGCACTGTTTGCGTGTGTGTGTGTGTGCGTGCGTGCGTGCGGTGAGCGCGAATCCAATGCAGCGGTAAGCAATTGGATTGATGTCTGTGGCAGGTGTACGCGATGTCTCGCCGGGAGGCGAGGGCTCAGCGCCGCCGAGAGCGATGAGAGTGTTGTGGGCCAGCTGCGGGCGACCCGACTTTCGGCAGAGGGATGCAAACTTGAGCCAGTTGTGGGCGTCCTCCTCGGGGTTGATAGCCATCGAGCGAACCAACAGCGATTCTTGCCACACCTGCAGCAGTCGGTCGTTGCCAGTTAGTCTTGCGTGCGCTCGGTGCAGAAGACACAAACTCGCCGCACGCGCACACGCGACACACGCGCACCACACGCGCACGACACATTACCTCGATATTCTTCTGCATTCCCTTGAGCCTCTTGGTCCAGGTGTTGCGCAGGGGAAGCAGGTTGTCCTTGACGCCGTCCGCTTGCATCTTCTTGTAGTCGATGAGCTCCTCCATCTCGGACAGAAGCTGCGCGCGTACCACCTGCATGTGCGCGTGCGTTGGTACGACACACGAAAAAGTGTGTGGCGAGGCACGGCCGTACGGCTTTGTAGGCGCGCGTGTAGCTTTCGCCAGCCTGCGCACGCAGCTCCGGGTCGAGCAGCTCGCGCGTTCGGTCGATGAACGCCTGGCTGGCGTCGAAGTTGTTCCGGTGGATCTCGAGCACCGCACGATAGAAGCTACCGTTGACGGTGTCCTCCGGGAGGAATTCGACGTAGGTCTTCATGTCGCTCCACTTGGCCATGTTCCACGCCGCACACGCCGCCACCGCGGCCATCTTCTTCTTGGCCGACGTATCTGTGCATTAAA